CTAGGTATCCGGCTCAAAGCCAAAGTTATCTCTTTCATGCTCTATTACATCTTTGTCTTTAGAAGAACTGCTGCTTCTTCTCGCACAAGAACGACGATGAGAGTCTCTTGCCAACATATTGATGGCGTTATTTTCTTGTATCTTCGGGGAAACCATAGCATTTTCAATTGTGATGTTCTGTTTAGTCTTAGGGAGGGTAGCGTGGTTATTCTGCATTGAAGTGGGGTCTGGCTGAGGGGCAGAGAGGGTACTTTTCCCATTATCTGTTTTCAGTGTTAATGTATTTTTCTGTTCCTTACTTATATTAGATTGCAAGAAATGATCCTCTTGAGTAGTTTGCTTCGCATGACATGTTTCTGGCGACGTGACCACATGCACGGCAGTCAAGGGTGGGTTTGGACTATTGTAATCGGGGTAGGGTTCCGGCCCTATGAGGGCGAGCAGGACTGGCATGAGGACAAGGCCGTGGAAAAGTCCAAAAATAGCTACACCGATGAATATTTTGAAGAAAGAGATAAAGAGGTGGGAGTCAGATGGTGATAACATGACAAAGGCTAACAATGTTGAGAAGCCTCCGTGCAACACTGCAGGTCCAACGCCTTCTACCGCTGCTTTCACGCGTGCACGCCTGCTCCCAGTCACCACTAAGAAGGCATGTGCTACATGTGCAGCATAATCCACGCACAAGCCTATGGCAAGTACTAATGCTATACAGGTGACGGTATCTATGGTGAGTCCCCACACATGCATAAGCGCCGCCACCTCCGTCAAAGTCGCCAGAACGCACAAGGACACCAGAAAGGCTGCTCTTGGGGCTGCCAGCAGGAGGAGCGTCATTATCCCGACCACGCAAGCAACCAAGCCCAGGTTTCGCCACAGCTCCGACCCAACAGCAGCGTCCGTTTCCCACTGGCTGTATACGTGAGCCCACACAGCATGATATCCTGAGATATCAGCCGAGGATACTATTTCTCTCACTCGATTCATGGCAGCTTGCTGGTCGGCTCGATTTTCTAGCCTTGCATATTGAAAGTTAATTTTGAAGATGGAGAAAGGTGGTGCAGGATCCTCACAAGTCAGCTCATCTTCAAACAAGAAGTTGTTATTAAACTGTGCACCACTTTTAGAGTGAAGAAATATTCCAAGTGCATCGTGTAGAACTTCCTCAGTCAGTGTAACATTGTAGTAATCAAGGCTTTCCATGAGATAGACATCTAATACACTGTACCAGGCATCAACACGTGTAATGTATGGCGAGGTGCGCAAGTCAGCTGCAAGATCGCGGAGCGCAGGGAGTTCCCTTGGCAAACTTACATTGGAGAAATAGACAGTGCCAAGTTCCCCATCCCTAGGGAAGTGTCTGTCCATGGCCTGGAACCAGTGGTAAAGATACGACGTGCGGGGGAGAAACCAGATGGGGCTGAATTCTTGGCGCAGGCTGACAGCGCCCCATATCCCAGCTCCTATCATGGAAGCCGCAGCTACTAGCACTATTGCTTGTATCCATGGTAGCACTATGACATTAGCATAGGCCTTCATGACTAGACTCAGAAACGTGGTGCGTTTTTGCTTTTGTGGTGTTTTCTTCTTTGGGTCTTCATCCTTCTTCTCTCTGTACTTCTGGTCAACAGTGAGAGCTGCCACGAATACTGTTGCTTGTAAGATGTACACTGTCATCACCCCAACTGCAGCATAAACACAGAACCAGCGTAAGGCAGGAACCTTCGTGGTTGCACCCACCAGAAATGCTACAGCATCAGACAGAGAAGTGACAGTGACAGCCACACCAGCATGTTGCAGGGCCCGGCCAGCACGCTCGAGCAGTTTCACATTGCCGGAGGTTTCCCAAGCATTGGATATAACGTACATGTCGTCTACACCAAGACCAATCAGAAGGATTGGTAGCACATTGTTTAGGGGGCCATGCGGTATTCCGATGGCAGAACACGTGCCATATGCCCCAACCACCGCCAGGGCGACGCAAAAGAGGCCTACAAGAGCTGGCCCTGGACGCCCTAAAGTCACAAGCACGTAAACAATGAGAGCCGCCCACCCACAAGCCACCCATTTTATATCGCCAATGATTGTCTTTGCACTGACATCACCGAAACTATAAGCTGCGTGAACATGGACATGGATACCAGGTATGTCCTCTTCCTGGACTGCCTCCACCAGCGCCATTTCCCACGCCAAGCCCTCCGTGTCCACCATCTCGCCTGTCCCGACGTCCACCACCAAAGTTTTATTCATGTGGTTCTTGGTGATCCACGTGTGCAGCGCCGCCCGTGCTGAGACGATGCGTCCGTCGGAATCTCTTGTGATGCCGCCGAGGTAAGCATCCGGCTCGAATGGATAGCCATACACTTTACTCATAAAGGCTTTGTTGACATCCTCTAAGACCTGGTGGTCGGTGAGATTCATGATGGCGTCCTCGTTGTAACCCCAGACTTCAAGCAAGCTGGTTTCATAGCACAGCTGCTTTTTCAGTGCTAATTCTTCA